ATATGAGGCCCTCCACTTGGGCCCTTGTATCTGATTTTCTCCACAATCCTGGGAAGGACAGAGGGTTTCCTTCATAGAGCCCTGACTTTGAAAGTAGAGAATGCAGGACAGTTATGGAGTACTTGAAGAACATTTCAACTTCCATTTTTTTCTTTCATTGTGTGTGGTGTGCATTATAATCAGAGTAGTACATATACGTAATTTAGAAATCCATGTATTTGGGGCATAGTCCCAAAATTTCCTGCCAACACTGTGGCGTGGTCAGAGCAGTGTGGAGGCCATTGGGAGCACAGCAGGGCCAGGGCGCCAGGGGCTTTCCCGCCCACCGGGCTCACACAGGAGTCCGAAGTGAGTTGCTGTAAGATGAGGGTGTGGGGCAGAGCCCATACATAGTAAACAGTATTATAATAATATTCATTTAGCCACTTGTTATTTCCTAAGGATACTCTTTATTTATACTCAATCTCCTTCCAGTGGATTTAAAATGCTAACAAATAGACATTTAGTAAAACAAGATTTTTCTTTTTCAGTGTAGGTATGAGTTGGGGAAAGGAAATAGAAGTGAGAGAGAAGATGAAGTCAGGAGTCAGGCCTATAAGATTTTATTCATTGTGCTCACACGTGGAAGAATGTTTTATTCTTAAGTTTCCTGTGGCCTATATACAGAGAGAGAGAGAATCCAATACGTAAGATGATGTCTTAAGATAAAGACGAAAACACGTACCTGCCCTGGGCCCAGAGAGACATACCCTCAGGACCTGTCCACACCTGGGTCCTCGGAAGAGGAGACGCCAAGGTTTCAACCTAAGCCCCTTGCATTTTTTACCGCATGTGTTTTCCACAGCTGAGAGGGAATTCTGCTATCAGTGGGGTTTGCATTTGATATCCAGGACCCTTAGATCCTAAACAATTCTGGACTAATGGTATAGCTGGTTTAATTTTTTTTTCATGTTCTTTAAAACCTGTAACTTGATTTATATCCCAGCAAAGTACTTGTTGGGCCCTGGACTGAAATGGATTATTTTCTCTGATTCTGTATTAAGCCTACATTCAATGTAGAAAGAACCTTCAAAAAGCAGAGAGGGGGTGAAGGAAAATTGGGAAGGAGAAAGAATATAGTTTTATTGCAGAGGCTTATGAAGAAAAACATTTGATGACTGAGTAGATCTGTCTGCTTCCCCCACCTCCCAGCTCCCCCTCCTTCCTGGCTGCTCTGAGCCTCTGGCTGGCTCCTGTCAGCCACCCCAGGGGCTGCTGTTTTTAACAAGGCAGACTTCATAAGCTACAAAATATTTCTTAGCCACAAATAATTACAGAACAACTTCTACACGTTGAGCGCTGTGCATGGCAAAGGGATTTTCAAAACACACTACATGTGCAGTCAAAAGAACTGGTATTGGGCATACCATTGTGTGTGTGTGTGTGTGTGTGTGTGTGTGAGAGAGAGAGAGAGAGAGAATGTGATCAGTTTCTCCGTGTGTGTGGAGTCTGTTTCCACATCCATAAGGTGGGGTTGATGGCTCTCCACCCCTTCTCATGGTTGTGGGGGTCATATATGTGTCCTAATATAGTTTGAAATGTTTTTGGAAATAACTATAGCCCTGTGCTGTTACTACAGAGAGGAAGATAACACACTGTTTGTGGTTAAAAAGAATTCAGGCTGTGTAGTCAGAAGCAGCACAGTCGAATCAGTGAGCAGTACCAAGCCTGCGTTAATCCCACATTTGTGAGCAGCACGTCACTGTGTGGCTCGCTAGCACGGGAGGCCTGACGCTGCGCTCATTCACGGAGCCTCGTGTGCTGGGAGACCATCTGAGACCTGGTGTGAGGGACAGTAGCAAGTCCTAACTGACAAGAGCTGGCATCTGTACTGGTTGAAGAAATAAAATGTTAGAATGTTTGAGTTATAAGGGAACTTGAAAGATTATCCAGCCTCCAGAAAAGTTCAAATGGTACTTATTTTTTATAGTTCTAAAAAAAATCATCATTGTGAAAATGGGATTTGTGTGTTTTAAGTTGAAGGTGACTGAGTTAACGCAATTAGGAGTTTGGATTTCTGTTAGTCTGGAAAAAACACATATTTTTCAATAGCTTGTCATTTGCTGTAAGAAACTGCTTTCTCTTTCCTGGAGATGGTGGGGCTGCCCTATTGGTGTGTTGCTGAGGTCACGCAGGGAAACTGGACAGGTTGGGCCTTTATCCAGCCCATTGGATCTGCTTCAGGGCTTGCTCGTGCCCGAGCCGAGGTGAAGGTGCACTGCCTGGGCTTTGAGCCACGTGAGTGGGTCTGGTGTTGGATCCCAGGCGGGAATCTTGTGAAGTGAGGCGATCGTAGCAGAGCATCTTTGTGGGTGAGTCTGTGGAGTCAGAACTTCTGGCTTCTCGTCTCGTCAGGACCCTGGTGGGTGCGGATGGGGAACCCTGTCTCCCAGGTGAACTTCATGTGGGCAGCGGGAGAGTCTCCTACTTACAAACACATCATCGACTCATGATATGCTCCTTTTGAAGTGGCGACCCCACCTGGGGCTTCCCATCTCAGCTGCTGTTTCTGCTCCTGGGCCTCTCTCCCACCCACTTTCCTTGTGCTCACTGCCGGGCCCTGAGTGTGTGCTCACCGCCGGGCCCTGAGTGTGTCACTCGTCAGGGCCTGGGCACCGTGGCTATACAGGGAGAACTGGACCTCAGCCTGTTCTTCAGTCCAGGATCCCTGACCAGGCTGCCCCTGCTCTCCCCAGCTGCTTCCCGGAACCCGCAAGTGCACTTCTGGTGCTGTCACTTGTACCAGGGGGCAGGGAAGCCCCTTGTCCGTGCCCCCCTGCTTGAGGTCTGATTCTGAAGTGCGAGACACTTAGGGAAATAAAAGAGGAAAAACGTCACTTAGACTTTATTTTTTACCCTAAGGATATATTCCCCAATATAAAAGACACAACTATCAAACCAAACAAATCACTTCCACTCCAGTCTGTAGATATTGGGGTGGCCTGGGAACCTAACTAATTGTAACATGTCTGTGGGAAAAACACTCTGAGTCCCAAACACTGGACTTACAAGTGAAGGTTTGTGAAATAGACTCAACTTATTAACAGGGTTATAATGAAAAATTACCATTAATAAGCGACAATCTCACTAATAAGCTAGAGTGTGCCTATGAAGCACTAAGCACAGCCCCTGACGTGTAATAACCTTCAGTAAATGGTAGCTGCTGCTCTCGCCTCCAGCAGCGGCATTTTTTGGATCAAAAGAGTCACTCTTGCTATATTTATGCTCCATTTATGAATGATCCATTACAAAAATACACAGTGAAGGCTGTGATTCCAAACACGTGGGGAGATGAGTATTAATACTCCTGATAGAGTACTTTGAAATGTTGGGAATGATGACAGATGCCCAAAAGCTATGTGGGCCTTATCACAAATAAATTTTCACTTTGGCTAGAAAGACATAACACCAACAATCCTGAACCAAGAGCAATGAGATTAAATGTGCCTGTGACCACAGATGAAATAGAAGTTTGTTTGTTTGCTCATTCATTGAATAAGCAAACATTTAGTGAGCACTTAGTATGTGCCAGACACTGAGCTGTTCAGAAAAAGATCCTGATGGTAGATACTCTAAAGAGGGAGGTTTCGGCTAGGCGGGTGTTTAAGCAGAAAGGTAAGCAAGGGATAGTAAGTCCAGACTGGGGCAGCAGGAGCAAAGGCAGTTTTAGAATTGGGGCAGAATGCCCTGGAGTTATGGTGAGGAAATTGTTTTGTCTTTACTTCTAAACCTTAAAGAGCACTGTAAAAATAAACAAAACCCCTTTGGACCTTTTGATCCTAGATAACAGACTCTGTTTGGAGTTAATTCACCAGCCTGCTGATAAAAGTCTGTGTCCTCCTGGTATGTTGATGAAACAGTTTAATCCAGGCAGCTGGGTTCTGAATGCACTCTGACCCCGTGCACCCCCATTTACGTCCAGCAGCGAAGGGCCAAGGCTGCTGGCATCCAAACAGGGGACACAAAGGGATCAGAGATCATGGTCCTTGTTCTCAAGGACACAAGCCAGCGTCCTTGGTGAACAGTGCTTACAAGCACCACGTGGCTCAGTACTGGAAGTGGCCGTGTATAGACACTGCATAGAGTGAACACAGAGTGAGGCAAATGCAGGTGCACAGTTGTGAGTGCTTGAATCACAGTTTATTCTTGTAATACTTAGTACGTAATTATTGCATTATTTACTCCATGAACAGCTATAAACCCCACACTGTGTTGCTGCTTTTCTTCATCATATTCCTCCTCCTCTCTCTAGAGGGTCTTCTGTGCGGGGTTTCTTTCTCAGAGGTTAAATTTTAATTCTGCAGTCATGCGGCCCTGCCCGTGCCTGTGTTTTCCTTGCGCTGTTGACACGGAGGCTTCCCCTTCCGTGCCGCTGAAGGAGCAGAGTCAGGTGGGCCTCTCTGGGTTGTTGTGAACAGATGTTCTAGAGCTTAATTCTAAAGACTGGATTCTCTGCTTGACTCTATAATTGTATTTTCATTTTTACAGGCTTTTCTTCTGCATCTTTTCTGCATTAACCTTGGGGCTTCCCTGCTCCCTCCTCCCATACGCAAGTGTTGTTAATTTAAAAAAATTATTTAAAAGTTCAGAGGAATTTAATGAGATGTAAATTCTCTTGTGAGCAATTTGTGTTAAAAAGAGAGGCAACATTGTCTCCAAATTCCGAAGACACACCGTTAACTCTCAGATACTTTTAGACAGCTTTTTCATTACCTTATTAGAGTTCTTTTCCTCCCCTGTAGAATAATTTAGCAGTTTATTTGCCTGATAAACAACATTCTTCTAATTTACCAAAATATATCATATGAAACTTACTTCGATAAAAATCTGCGTGGACCGGAAAATTTTCCCGTGATCGTGGGAGGGGCAGTGTGTGTGTGTGTCTGTGTGCACGTGTGCTAGCTCTCAACAGCCCCAGCTATGCCTGGCTTCCTTCAAAGTATTTTGGTCTCTCATTTCAGCCACAATTACAAGTTCATCCGAAAATGATGACCGGAGTGGCTCCAGTTTGGAATGGAATAAGGATGGAAGCCTAAGGTTAGGGGTGCAGAAGGGAGTGCTCCATGATCGCAGGGCAGATAACTGCTCCCCCGTGGCAGAAGAGGAGCCCCCTGGGTCGGCGGAGAGCGCGCTGCCCAAAGCCGAAGCCTCAGCTGGAGATGGTCCTGTCCCTTATTCTCAGAGCTCCAGCTCGTTAATAATGCCACGGCCCAACTCAGTTGCAGGTAAGGCCACACTTCTCCTTGAAAGGTTATCTTACTGGGCCCGAGGTACCCCATGTTCACTCCTTACACTTGGGAATGTGATCCAGACACAAGCCAGCGCTGTGATCATGGGTCAGGCACTTACCTTTCCTAGACCTCAGTTTACCCATGTGTAAACATGATAAGGCTGCACTGAATGGTCTTTAAGTGGCCCTTCTGCTTGGGATTCTTTAAATCTGATATTCGGGCTCTATGGCCCTTTGTCTGTGATGGAAGAAAGTACGGAAAGTTCTGTCCTTGTTTTTGTTATGGAAGCCTGAGCAAATTCATGACTTTGTATTATATCTTGGTAAACAGGAATCATGCTTTTGAGTGAGTTTGTTAATATCAGCTCATAGAGTATCTAATCCAACTTCCAAACTTGGTTTTTATCACTGAGGCCCGTCACAAAGATGGGAGGTCCAGCTTCTGGACAATTCTGTGAGAAGGGGTCTCACAGCTGACGCATAAGCACTGGCAGTGAGAACTCGCAGTCGAGGAACTGAAAACAGGCATGGTGGGGCAGCTGGACCTAGAAGAGGACACAGAAGTGATGCCTGTTGCCAGATGACTGGCCAGTGGGTGGCTGTCCAGCAAGGAGAGTGGTTTGGGGGCGGGTAGGACAAGGAGCTCTGCATCTGGGCTGTCATGCCTGTTTTTAGGTCCTGAGTTTCTAAACTCAGTTCCCTTGGGTTGAACTTAGAGGAGGAATATACATAGAAGAGGAACTTGTTTGGTCATTTAAAAAAAATTACTTACTGATTTAGAGAGAGAGAGAAACATCTTTTGGTTGTCCCACTTATTATGGATTCATTGTTTGCTTCTCATGTGTGCCCTGACTGGGTATTGAACTCACAACCTTGGCATGTCAGGATGATGCTCTAACCAACTAAGCTACCCAGCCAGGCCTTGTTTTGGTCATTCTTTGTCACCAGTGCAATGCTTAAAATTTCTCTTCCACTAATGCACGGACCCTGGTTTTCTCTTCCTACATCAAAGGATTTTTCTATGATTTATACTGCTTTGGGATGTGGCAGGTCACTCTGGCTGTTGTTAGGGTTTTTTTTGTTTTGTTTTTTAACAATGGAACTCTGAAGCAGCTGATAAATAAATTGCCCTAATGGAAAAGTTCTGAGACACAACTCTAATTTGCTTCAAAGGAAATAAAATGGCCTTGTTCCAGAGAAGGGGTTTGGCACGTCTGCAGGGGAGAAGTCCTGGCGAGCTCTTTGTGTGCCGAGTGACGGTCCCTCCGGAAGCCTTTGTGTCCTCCCACCACCACCCCACTACCTGTGGCACTGCATGGGGCTCCCAAGGCGCTATAGACCATATTTACTTAGCTACGATGGATGCTTCATCCGTATTGTCCCAGAACTGGATAGCTGTTTTAACTTCAACACAATAGCAAACTTGTATTCAGTTTCATGAAGCTATTTTAAAGTTAGGAAACACATTCATAAATTAATTCAACAGTGTTAAAAGCACTCCATTTCGGGTGACGTTTTCTGCTTGATGTTCTTTCATGTGGTCTCCTGCCATGTGAAGTGACAGCGGGTGTGAGCTGAGCGTTTCCAGGCGTCCGCAGTGATTACCGAGCAGGGCGTTCTGGTTTCCGCTGTGTTTGTTCATTAGTGTCTGCATGTGCACTTGAGCAGGACCTCCCGTGCAACTGGGAGGGCTTTACCTCTGGGTTTGAGCAGTGACTGCCTGGCCTAATGGGTTTGCTCATCTCTGCTGTGTTGTACACTTTATAAACTGAAGGCATGTTTTGAAAGGAAGTAGGCAAGTCCCTGATATCATAGTATCTGTCAGCAAGCTGGAAGTCTGGTAGATTTTTCATTGATCACCCACTTACCTCTAAAGCTGAACCTCAGTTAAGAGGGAAGGGCAAGATTTTTCAAGTATTGCTGAAAAGAATAAAGGATTCAGGTTGTCTATACCTTATGCAGCACTGTTTGTGTGGTGATAAGGAGCCAAGCTGCCAGAAACAAGGCAGTAGCAACACGTGGTGTGAGGAGTATGGTTTATGTAAGGGACCATGTACTGTAATCTCTCAGAAGTATTTGCGTGTGAGATCCATGGAAACACAAGTAGATGTCCATTTGCTAGGAAACATCAAATGATCTGATGTGGTGTGTGCAGAGTACGGGCTGGCAGGTAAAAGCCTCTGTTCATGCTGATGCTGGCCTCAGGGACCCCGTCCTGCTGGGAGCGAGGGTGAGGAAGCAGGTTCCTGAGGTTGCTGGCTGCTATTTGTCATCAAGCCTGTTACAGAGAACTGTGTGTGTCTGTTCACTGCTAACCATTCAGAACAGTGACATTTTTATGTCCAGGATTATAAAAATAAGCTGGCTAGGTTTGGGGATCGCCTGTACAGAGGTCTTTGTGAAGGAGTGGGCAGAGTGGAATCAACCACTTTGGAACGCTGCTGCTGGGTCGGTATTGTCCGTCACACAAGAGTGTCTGGCATGGATACCTGTGCCTCCCTTTAAGAAACAATCAGAGCCCTTTAAAATGCTGTCTTGTATCATTTAGAAGTTGGGTAATTAGGTTCTACTATTTTTGACTACTTTATTTTTTCTCTCGAAATACTTCCTAAGTGGATCACAGAACACTGTTTTGTTTTCCAGGAAACCAACAAACATAATGACTAGCTGGTTTCCTTAAAACTCGAACTGGTAAATGCCTGGACTTAATGGCATCTACTTTTGGTAGGTTAGTCCATGATGTTTTGGCAGGTGTTTCTCTTTGCTCGGCCTAGAGGAGTCTCCGTGTGCCTCTCCTTCCACTCCACCCCATTTCCCTCCATTCCCCCCAAAAAGCCTTTCCTGAACATATTCCAATGTACTTCTCACCCAGATGTTGGGCACTATGTGCATGCAATAAGTGTGTAATTAATTTGATTGTAGAGATGTTCTCAATAAGTTTATTGCAGCATGAAATTATTGCTCTACCTCTGATTTTTCTCAGCTCTGCATACTGTTTAGGGTTTTGGAAGCATTTAGTGTTAAATATCAGAAACAGGTCTGATTCTTGTACTGGTGGTGTCTGAGAACCTACTGTAGGCGTGTGTGAGAAGGCAGCGTGGGGTCCCTGCACCAGCTCTACAAGGTGAAGACGCCTGGGTGCAGAGCTGGGCACCTGGAGCTTCCCTGCTGCTACCTTCCAATCTCCCTCTCTCGGTGGCTTTGAAGGCAGAGGCACCCGGCAGCTGGTGGCCTACAGCCCTGACGAGCAGTGGTCCACAACAGCGCAGGTTACTCATATTTAATTGTGCAGTTGCTGGGGCCACTTGTTGCATACTTTGGAGCTGAAACTGTGGGGACCAGAAATCTGAAAACAGGCATTTAAAACTCCATCCCCGGCATGTGTCAAACAAGGGCATTTTGGGCAATCTCTTCTTCGGAATAACTTGGCCCTTTATAGTCTCAGATTCTTAATCCTTTTGGTTGTCACAAAATTAAAAACTGAATGTCATGCTTTAAGAGGTCAGAAGGAGATGGGAAATGGGAAACCCTTTTGAGGCTGCAAGCATCTTTGTGCTTCTCCTGCACAGGAGCAGCAGGTCAGACATGCATGAACTGGCTTCTGGGTGACATGGTTGGTGTTCATGGTGAGGCATGCTGAGGAGAGGGGCAGTTGCAGAGCCCCAAGTCAGAGGCCCAGTTCCCAGGCAGGAGCCCAAAATAATGTTCCAAGGAGTGTTATTCCAGGAAGCCAGGGTGATGGGTGTGGTCCTAGTGGCCCACACAGCCTGGTCATGAAGGACTTGCAGAGAAGCCAGAGGCTGTTGTTGGATTCCCATAGCATAGGCCCATTTGGAAGTCCTGCATAAGGAATTAGTGCACTTTTTCCAAGTGCATGAAGTATTGGTGTGAATGTGCACACGGTGTGTAAAGAGGATGTGGGTATGCACTGAGAGGATACAGGAGCATAAGTGTGTGCTGTTGTAAAGTTAAGGTGCTGGGTGTTTCTGCACAGACTGGGAAGTTGAGCAGGGCACACAGTTGATTGCCCTTTGGAGAATGCAGAGAGAGGGGACACACTGTCAAAGAGTCTGGCCATGGGGCCACCCAGGTGCTCATCTAATGAAGGGGAGGGGTAGTGCTCACGGTCACAAAGGAAAGGACTGCAGCTGTGGGAGGGAAATTAGGAAGGGCCAGATCAGGTGGGTAGGGCCAGTCAACAGCTGGATGCTGGGTCAGAGCCAGGGGGTCTTCGGCAGACAGATGGCCCAACTCGACTTCTGTCCTTTGAGGCTTGGCCCCACTATTGATTTCTCCAGTGCTCAGAAGTCTTAGTTAGCCTTGGAATGTAACTCCCTCTTCCTCCTTGTTCGCCCTTGGACGACATCTGAGTTTTGTTGTCCTGGAAGATGACTGTGTGCCTGAGAGTAACAGCACTTTACATTGGGCCATGGGCCACTTAACCCACAAGTCACATTAAATTACCTTTATTTAGAGTTCTCTTACTGTGACCAAGGATGTGTTTGTAATTAAGAGGAGTTTTTTTAAAAGGCCAAAACACACTGTGTATTTGCTTCTAAGATTTGCTGAGATTAGTAAAATTATTTTGCATTAGTTATTTTTATAATCCAACTATGTCTATGTTTAAATAGACCCTAAATCCTTTTTAGAAAGGTACCTATGTGCTATAAATCTTACTGATTTGATCAGAGGTAAATGTGATTACTTATTTTTAGAATTTTAAAAAGTATATACATATGGAATATTATATAATATGTTATATATATACACACATATATACACACATATAAATATTTGAAGCTTAGGACTATGTTCACATCCAGTGAAGTCCACATGGCTACTTACACAGCCACAAGCTGACTGTGAGGGCTGGGAGCACTGTGGAGTTGTGTGTGCGGGAGCTGCTCGCTTAATGAGCAAGGCTGGGGCTGTGGCACCAGAGGCAGGTTCTCGGGGCTGCAGAGAGCAGCGGTACCGTGCTGCATGTTGGCAGTGAGTACTGGAGCTTTGCTGAGTGACACTTGATTGTCACATTTCTTCATAAAAATGTATGGTGAAGTTGGTCTATTTGCAGGAATTGTGGAGACTATTAGCACCCATATCAACATGCTTTCATTTAAGAATGAACAAGCAGCACTTGACTCTGTACCACTTTTTGGTGAACAGCATTGCTGGGAAAATAAACCTGGGTGGGTAAACAAAACTAAAATCACCTTGAAGGACATTTTGTTGAATGCCCTAATGGAATTGCTTAGTAATTTATAATTGCAGTAGCTTGGGTATGATATTAAACTCAACTTTCAAGAGACTAAACTTCAGTTTCATATTACAGCGACCAGCTCAACCAAATTGGAAGATTTGAGTTACTTAGATGGGCAGAGAAATGCTCCTCTTCGAACGTCAATTCGATTACCGTGGCACAATACGGCCGGAGGCAGGGCGCAGGAAGTTAAAGGTCTGTATCCTTCTACCCGCTGTCATGTGGGTGTGACGAGCTCTGTCACCGAATGCTGAAAGTCCGTGATAACCAGCATTTAAACCGACTGCTATTAAAACACGATGGTGAATGATGTGTGTGTTAAAAGTTTATCTGGAAAGTGTGCTGGGGGGCCAGCCTTCACAATTTTGGACTTCTTAAAATGTATGATTAACTTGCTTCTGGATTTGAAAAATCATTCTGCAACATGTTATTTTGAAGTGAGGAGTAGTTTAAGACTCCCTCTTTTTTTTCTTTTTTTGTAATCAATAAAGAATCAGCCTTGTTGCCACCTCCTACATCTCCCTGTCATGCACTGTCGTGTGGTCAACAGAGGCACCCTCAGGACAAAGCCCTGTGATCTGCGCCCCCCGCACCACCACCACCCCATGAGAGCTGGGGCCCTGTCTCCAGGGAAGGCGCATTTTCATTTGCTCAAACAGTTGTGGGAGAAATGTGTCTTAAATACTGTTTGAGATAAACTGATGAGACATGATTTGGCCCTCAGAATCACTTTCTCTATTTCTCTGTGTGTCTGCCTTGAGTCATGGGAATAATTTAGAGGCATAAATGGACTAGAAAGTCACTTAAGTAGTATACTTTGTATTCCCAGTGGTGTATAATAAATGAGGTATCACAGAAGTATTAATAGGATCATATTGGAAACGCAGATCCCTTTTGGGGTGAAACTACAGGCTATACCAAGTGTAACATACACATAATGATAAATTAAGTTTTTTAGTGTCTAAAACTATGACTTTCTTCCAAAATAATGATCTTCTTTCTTTTCCTAAGCACGATTTGCTCCCTACAAGCCACAAGACATCTTACTGAAGCCCCTGTTGTTCGAAGTGCCGAGCATAACAACAGACTCAGTGTTTGTGGGACGGGATTGGCTCTTCCACCAGATCGAAGAGAACTTGAGGAACCCAGAACTGGCGGAAAACAGAGGAGCGGTGGTTGTTGGAAACGTGGGCTTCGGGAAGACGGCAATCATTTCCAAGCTGGTGGCGCTGAGCTGCCATGGCAGCCGCATGCGGCAGATCGCCTCCAACAGCCCCAGCCCATCCCCCAAAAGTACGTCTGCGTTTAACTGCTTGTCTGGCTCATCATATTAACATACGGTAGATGGAGGAGATTACTGTTTGGACAGACGGAAGTTCCCAGTTTTCCTCAAGTTGTTCCAGCAGCTGTGTCAGGTTTGCGGTCATGTGGCACTGTTCAGGTGTCCATCTGTCACAGTGCCTGTGCAGGTGTGACTGGCATGAGGCCAGCCTTCCCTCGGGCCTCCCTCTCTGTAGGGGCCGAGATGGGGCAGTGAGTCCTGACCAAGTACACTGGGGAATTTTTGGTCCTAAAACCACGGCAGGAGCCTCCTGGCAGAACAGGCCAGAAGGCGTGTGTGCAAAATTCTTTTGTATCCTGTGCTCTGCAGCCTTTGTCTTCTATACTGGATTTACCAAAGATATAAAAACTAGCTTAGAAATGGACTGGAGTTGCAAAGATTGACTATTTATAGCTTATTTTATGTATAATACATTAAAAGAAAGTGTCTCTAACATAATGAACCAGGAACAAGTGAGCCATGCAAGGTATTTTTTTAAAACCAAAAATAGTTTAGTAAGGGAAATGAGAAACAGCGGTTCCCTGGGGAGGACCGCTGGGCGGGTAGGAGATGGGCTGGAGGGCACTGGTGCTCCCGTGTGCACCTTTGCATGTGGCGCCTTGCTCACTCCTCACCTGTGGAACTGCTCTCTGTCTCTGCTCAAGAAACACATTCACCGTCCTGCTGTGCATACCCCCATTGTGATGCTGTGAACAACGGAATCGGTCTCTTTCCTCTGCAGCTTCAGATTCCTCCCTGGATCCTCCGTTCACTCCATTGCTTTCACCAAGTACTTCTACAAGTGGTACCAATGTGGCTAAAATGCCCACTGGGTCGGGGTCTGATACTCCTGAAAACCAAAGACCAAGGGAGGATGCAGTGAAATACCTCGCTTCCAAGGTAATGTTACTCCTGGTTTATGAGAACTTCCAAAGAGAGTGAGTGAGAGAGAGAGAGAGAGAGAGAGAGAGAGAGAGAGAGAGAGAGATTGAGATTGATTGGCTTCTGAAAAATGAATTGTAAAAGAGATCTTACAACAGGGACAGCAGTTGCTTAATGCAAAAGTATAGCTTTGGATAAAAATGTGGTAGAGTACTGCAAATGAAAGTCATGACTAAAAATAAATATCTTAAGACATTGGCAGTGGACTTGTGTTCATCTTAAATACTGGATTGAAAATTCCTCAGTCAGCAGGAGGTAGTGTTGCACTTGCCACAAATCTACCCTTACAGTTGGCACGAGAGCAGGAAGATCGGTAGCCTTGAACATGACCCCCAGGCCACCTCTGCCCACGCTCTGTGCCTAAGGCCCTTGGTTCTTTGAGTCTTTCTGTCCAAGATTTCTTGTGGTATTGTAAAAGAGACTTGGCTGACTCCTGCTTCTGAAACTTATGCTCATCAAAGTCCTTCAGAAATTTTCCCATCTGCTCAGCTTCTGTCGCAGGTTCACCAGCTACCCTCCTGGGTGAAACCTGTCATGCTTCACCCCTGGTGGGCCGCTTGGGTCTCCCTGGCAGCAGTGGTGTGAGGTGGTGGAGCTGGAGAGCCAGTGGGGGTGGGCAGGATGAGGGGTGTCTGGTGAGGAAGCCCCCAGGATGGTGGTGGGCCCAGGGGGACCGAAACAAGTGCTTCTCTGCCCCAGATCCTTGCTCCTTGCTTCTGCTTCCCTGGCGTGGGCAGCCTGACACCCTGACCCGTCCTCTGTGCACCAACAGGTGACCTGCAGTGAGGGATATAGAGCTGACGATGAAGCACCCGCCACCCTGATTTTTCACACCACTTTGTGACCCACCATAAGAAATAGATCTTAACACCGGAGACCTAGTGCTCACACATATGCAATCACACACACAACTGAAGCAAAAGCATCACAAAAAGCAAAAGAATCTTATAATATTCACTTTATTTTTTAGAAGAATTTGGCTCCAAATTGATTTCATGACTAGACTGGTCCAGGCTGTTTTCATTGGTGGTTTGTTCAAGCCCTGGAGTCTTCATGGGATCCTGCTAACCTGTGTCCCAGGGGGCATGGAAGAGCAGTCATCTTTCCTGAGCTTTGCTGACCAGTTTAGTCTAGGACAGAAGTCACATGAAGATTCCAAATTGGCCACATCTATTCTTGCCACGTGCTTTTTAGGAGTCTGCAGACCTGTTATCTAACCACAGATCTTTCGTTGCTCACCTGGGTCACCCTGGTGAGCCTTTAGCCTGTGCCTCTGCTGCCCTCAGCTGTGAGGCACAGCTGGTGGTTCTTCTACACGTGTGCTGAGCAGGGGGTGGGAGTGGGTACAGTTGAGGGGTGGTGCAGACTCAGATGCTGCCGAAAAACATAAGTACTTTACACTGTATGTTTTGACCTTTTTTGAAAACCTTCCTTACCTCATACTTACATTCCTTAGTTCATCCTCGTTGAGCAAAGTATTTGGTTTTTCATTTACCTGTGGAGTACCGTTCACTCCTGACAGTTCGCATCTGCCACTCTCCTTGGGGACTCGAAGGAATAACCTGCTGCCGCATATCAGTCCCAGCAGAGGGGATCCTCGTCATCCTCTCCGTGCTTAAGCAGGAACCCTCTTGCTCCCTCCTCCTCTGTGTCCCTGCACAGCATAGGCAGAGATTTGCTGGGTGCTGATTTTGACTTTACCAGTTGTCGCTGTTGAACTTCTGCATGGTGTCCATGCAGGGTGGGTGTGGAGAAGGGGCTGAGGGTTTCCACCAGGCTGCCTGGTCCTCCTGCCATGGGGAGGAAGCAGCTGTGACTTCCTGGCCTGGCCTTTGTAGTCACTGACTAGTGCTGATCCTAATGCTGATCAAGACAGATTTGGTCAAGATACACTGCAGTGAAAAAGTTGCTTAGGTCTTGGCAAACCACGTGAATTGAATGAAGGAATCACTGAATCAATTAAGCTAAATTATGTCTCCATCTTGGGGAAGAGAACAACATATTCTGTTACCTTGCAGACACTAGAGTTTCATCCCTGTGTGAGAGCATGAACGGAATGGTGTGAAGAGGGTGAGGTGACGCTGCTGGTCTGCTTCCCCCCAGGTCGTGGCCTACCACTACTGCCAGGCCGACAACACCTACACGTGCCTGGTGCCTGAGTTCGTGCACAGCATCGCGGCTCTGCTCTGCCGGTCCCATCAGCTGGCTGCCTACAGGGATCTGCTGATACAGGAGCCCCAGCTACAGAGCATGCTGAGCCTCAGATCCTGCGTGCAGGACCCCGTGGCTGCCTTCAAGAGGGGAGTGCTGGAACCACTGGCAAATCTGAGAAACGGTACCTCCCAGCAGCCCCCTAGAACCGCCTCAACAAGTCCCCGATGGCTCCGAGTCCCCAGGGCCATCCTCAGAAGGGGGGCGGGGGGTCAGCTTGTCCCTGGGTTGGAAGTGAGATGGGTGCAGGAAGAAGGTGTGGGTGAATCTGTGTCTCTCCTCCTGTTCCTCGGAACTGTCTTTGCAAGGACCCACCTAGATGGTGTAGGTTTAAATGAAAGTTCTTGGATAAGAACTAACTGGCCAGTGGAACATTTCCAAGGCAGCTAATTTGCAACTATAGGTCATTTAGAAGACTTGCGCTCTAGAAACTTGCCTGCGCATTTTGCACTCCCACATAGCAGGGGGATAAGTTGATTGTTTAGGAAAATTGCCGGCATGTTTTTTTTTCAGGACCTCTGCTCAGTTGAGTTGAACCTACAGCGGTTTCTGGAAGTCTGACTTTGTTGCCCTTGAATAGTCTACAAGACAGGGGGCATTAGTGCTATTATGGGCCCTTTGGTTTTTCATCCTTCCTCCTCCTCACCTTTTGAGTTAGTTTATCTGCTTTCATAGCACTTCTTCCAAAAGGTGCTACAGAGAGGGCATTGAAACAGATGTCATCCTTTCTCCTTAGTTCCCAGGCAGAAAGTTGATGCTAATAAATAGGAAACTAGCTTTAGGTTTGTAGGAAAGAGCCTTGTTCTAGGAATCTCTAAAGCAGAGCTCTCACCCCGGCTTATACGAGCCTCGGGCTGGATGCTTTGCCCTTTGGGGGTCAATTTTCCTCCCCAGAAATCCACCGAAGGTGTTCCTTGGTGAGGGTGGGGAGCCTAGGGTCTTTTCCAGAATTCCTCTCCGTGTGTTATCTTCGCTGTACTCGCCCCAGAGATAGTAGTTGATGAAGCACTAACTGTAATACATGGGTGGAATTCTGCTAAGTGTGTGTAATGCAATATGTTTCTGAAAACTCTTTTGTGAGAAGTGGTTCTCTCTTTGGCTCTGTGCTCCAATTTCCATAATGCATTTAATAGAAAATATGCTTCTGTGTAAACTGTTTCTTCTGCCATATGCAGACCTTTTTTAGTTTTTCCTGACACTTTAAACTGTGCATTAAAATACATGGGGTGGTGCCACCTTATAGAAATACATACTTCCTTAATTAAAAATATTTTGTCCTTTAGAGCAGAAAATTCCTGAAGAAGAATACATTATTTTGATAGACGGCTTGAATGAAGCTGAGTTTCATAAACCTGATTATGGAGATACACTTTCTTCATTTATTACCAAAATTATCTCTAAATTTCCTGCCTGGTTGAAGTTGATTGTGACTGTAAGAGCAAATTTTCAGGTAAAAAAATAATTTTCACATCTCTTCCCAAGTCCTTATGCCTAAAATTTGCAGTGATTAATACTAACAATTTAAACTTGTAAACCATTTAGCTGCTGAATTTAAAACTATACTAAGACTTTGAAATATCAGTGCACAATACCCCAAATGTGTGAAGCGCTGACCTTTTTACCCCTGAAGGCACATTTTTCAAGGTGTCAGGTAAGTTTTCTGTTAGCACTGACCTGCACTTGTGCTTCTGAAATGGTAGGTCCAGCCCCAGCTCCCTGGCACTCGGGCTGGGACGCTGTGTGGGGTGTGCGGCTACCAGGCCTGCTAGAATTGACAGGTGTTCCTACTAGGAGTTTGTGTGGATTTGCAGTGGGACTTTGTTTTGTTGTGTTTTGTTTTGGTTTGTTTTATTTTGTTTTGTATGAATAAAGGAGGGAGGGATGAAGAAGGGGATTTTTAAGACCTATTCTGAGAGAAGGTCTATTTTTTTCAGAAAACTTAAACATGGGATAACATTTGCAGTGAGATGAGTGATTTTTTAAAATTCTCTACCTCATGCTTCCCCTCATGTGAACCCTAAAATTATATCTCAGCCATTGACACCTTCCTTCTAACTTGTTCTTTTTTAGTAAAGACCTTAAATTTTTGCCCTTTTATGATACTTACTTAAAAGTAGCATTTGGACCCTGACCAGTGTGGCTGAGTTGGTTGGGCATTGTCCCACAAAGCGAAAGGTCACCAGTTTGATTCCCAGTCAGGGCATGTGCCTGGGTTGCGCGCGGGTTTGGTCCCTGGTCTGGGTATACGAGACGGACAACCGATTAATGTTTTTCTCTCTCCCTTCCCCTTTCTTTTTAAAAATAAATAAATAAATAAATAAATAAAATTTTTAAAAAATGTAAAATAAAATAATAGCATTTTGGCTCCTTTTTTTCGCATTAAAAGTGGCATTAGACTGCAGTTGAATTTGATGTTTTTTTTTAAAGGAAATTTGATTTGTACCCTTCTCAGTCATTTTCCACACAGTAAGCAGACACTAGCGGCACCCAGGGAGAGGAGTCCTGTGTTTTCTGTACCCGCCGTGTGAGTTTTTGGAGGTGTAGTTAGCATCCACGGTAACGGGAGTCAGTGACGCAGCCTGCCCCCTGCAGTTACTACATTCAGTGAGGACATGTATGTCAGCACTTCAGAAATGATAGTGACAAGTGAAAAAAAGCCCACCAAACACATCTCTGCTGTTAAGTGTCAGGATGGTGCTTATCTCCAGGATGGGGATGTTTGCTCTCAGGCTGCTGGTTACCAGGGAGATCTGACTTTGTGAAAATTAATGACACCGTGCGCTCATATTTGTGCACTTCCCCATGTATTACCTCAATTTAAAAGTTTACTACAAAGCAGCAACTTTAGACGTTGACAGTGGGCTATACTGGGGTCAGGCACCTTGTGACGGCTGCACTGGGTACAGCCCGAGGCCGTCTCAGGTGCCTGGTTCAGGTAGGCCACCCTGGTATCTGCACTGAGAGGGACGCCTCTTATCTCCGAGTCCAGCTGTGTTCTTAGAGTACAGTGGTGGTTGTGTTTGTCTTCGTTATATAACCAGTTTCACAATGTAAGGATTATGGGTATCAGGTCACCTCCGGGCCTCACTGCCCCTTTGCGGGTCCGGCCAGGTGGCATTCTTGTTGAGCCCTTACCTTTCGCTTGGCTCTGAGTCTTCGAATCAGGGTTTTGGAAAAGCCTTTACTGATTCGATCTTGCATCAGGATTTCTTTCACATAAGCTTTTTATCTTCAACTTATCCTATTACATGTTTTAATACAAAATAATGAGTCCCTGTAATCCATGAAAATCCTCCTTGAAAGAAAAACTAGTGAATCTGATTTGAAATGCAGCTGACACAAAAAAGAAATCTCTGTGGAGTGACACTGGTGTGTGTTTTTCCCCCCAGGAAATCGTAAGTGCACTGCCGTTTGTCAAGCTTTCCTTAGATGACTTTCCCGACAACAAGGACATTCACAGCGACCTGCACGCCTACGTCCAGCACAGAGTGCACAGCAGCCAGGACATCCTCAGCAATATCTCCCTGAACGGCAAGGCCGACGCCGCCCTCATTGGGAAAGTGAGCAGCCACCTGGTGCTGCGGAGCCTCGGCTCCTACTTGTACCTCAAACTCACCTTGGACCTCTTCCAGAGGGGACATTTGGTCATCAAAAGTGCCAGCTACAAGGTGGTGCCCGTGTCTCTGTCCGAGCTCTATCTGCTGCAGTGCAACATGAAGTTCATGACCCAGTCTGCCTTCGAGAGGGCGCTTCCGATTCTAAATGTGGCCCTCGCGTCCCTCCACCCCATGACGGACGAGCAGATCTTCCAGGCCATTAATGCTGGCCACATTCAAGGGGAACAGGGGTGGGAAGACTTTCAGCAGAGGATGGAAGCCCTGTCCTGCTTCCTCATTAAGAGACGGGACAAAACCCGCATGTTCTGCCACCCGTCCTTCCGGGAGTGGCTTGTTTGGAGAGCAGATGGTGAAAACACGGCCTTCCTGTGCGAGCCCAGGTATGACAGGACGTGGTCTGTCAGCTCTTTGCAAGGGCCTGTTGTGCACTTGGGGAAGGAATTTTGAACGTGATTCACTTTTTTTTTTATGGAAAGGCAACACAGAAAAAAAGGAATTCAGGAGGAGCAATGGAAAATTCTCTTGGCTACTAACCAAAAGCTTCCTCCCTCTAATTGCTAGAACTTTAGGACTCCTCAGTACATTTGGGTAAGAGAGGAGCTAAGCAATGCCTTGGTGCTACTTCTGTGCCATCCTGTCCCCTGTCACAGGAGCCATCCATGGTGGGAAGGTGTGTATCAGCTCCAGGAAACAGTGGACTTCTCTAGAAGCTGTTCCCAGCTTACTGTCTTTCCCTGGGGGTCTGTGGACTGTCATGGACCCCCAGCACCCCTCCCCATGTGCCACTTCATGAGCACACAGATTGTCCCAGAGATCTAATGTGGCTGCTGGCCCAAAGGGGAGCACACCAATCACATCTGGTTGCCTCGTTTTGTACTTGTGGTTTAGGTCAGTGTAACAGCCTGGAATCTGGGGTCAGGAGGACTGAGGTTCCAGTCTCAGATGCCCCATTTATGAGATGGTGGTGGGGTAGCTACATCTGTGAAGGTTCCACTGACGATTTGCAGCAGGGTGGGGCCAGGATGCAGTTCTCCCTGTTGCTCAAGGGAAGAGGCAGTGGTAAGCCTGCCTGTTTTGCAGCCTAATGCTTGGACGGTGTAGGTGCTTTCAGATTAGGGTATGTTCTTGACACCGTTTATTTCTGACCCTGGCCTTGGCCTGTATCTTTGCTGTCTTGAATGGCTTCTGTTCTCTGTGAGTCAGAATTGATCCTGACAACTGCAGCAGGTCGGGCAAACTGTCAAATTGCCCTTTCGGGCTGGATGTGGCATTTGTCCAGATGCTAGGGTACAGAAATGAATAAGAACTCGTGGTCAGCACGCCACCTTTCTCCCCGTGAGTGTTGACAATGTTGACTTAATAAGTCTAGCTGCTACTTCATGTTGTGATAGTATTGTTTTCTTAGGTGATACTGGGTTATGAATTTATCTTTTAAACCTGGTAACACCCAGGTTATTGAGCCAGACTGTAATAACTAGGTAAATTTATGTCATGACATACTTAGGCAAGGAAGGTTATTTTCTAGGAAAAGTCAGATCATTTCCTGGGAAGATAGGCCATCACTGAGTCTGTAGAGACGTAAAAATAAGCTGAAAGACTTCAACAATGGGTGTAGACTTGTTATGGGGGGTTGAGGCAGTAGTAGTTGGGCTGCTGTCACAGTTACGCTATACTCCCTCTTGGGTGTCAGGTGGCACTGAGGCCATGCAGCCTGGGACAGAGCTGAGAATGGGATGACCAGAGGGTTGTCACCCATGGCCATGGACTCCTGAATGCTGGTGTGTCCCTATAAGCAGGCATGGGGGCTTACAGGGCCAGAGCCAGGACTAGGCTGTGGCACTTGGGGTGCAGAGGAGTTGTTACTGGGTTGGCCCAAAAGTCTGTTATGTTTTTTCTGTAAAAGGCATTTTTTATGTTCACCAACAGCTTTATTGATTTGGATATTTTGAGTATGTTGGCTATCTCCTGCTACTGGCTTCTGATGGGTAGAGGCCAGGGGTGCTGCTAAACATCTTCCAATGCATAAGACAGTGCACAGCAAAGAGTTACTTGGCCAAAATGTCAGTAGTACCAAGAAACTTCAGAAACCACTTTTGACATGTTTGATCAGTCACAGCACTTTCTCCATACGCTGCACAAATATATATATTTTTTGCATTGGTTGCATTTTTATCTTTCTTGAAATAATAAAGTACAATATGCTGAAAATGTTGCATATTTTCTTCCATCTTCAATATTAAGATGGCTGCACAAAAATCCATCAATTGTGATTTTTTTTTAAATGTACGCTGATATGACGGCTGTCACAATACAATCTAACAGGATTGTTTTGAGTGAAGTTAGAGACGACTATGCGCTATTAGAGCCATTGTATGGAAAAAACCATAACAGACTTTTTGACCAACCCAGTACTTCTCAGAATTGTGCAAGTCAGCATTTACCCAAGACCTGTATAGTTCTTGAACTTTAGTCAGCAGACAGACAATATATAGAACAATATTGGAAGGAAGCTGCCAGACTTAGTTCAGCAAAAGTTTTTGCATACCCTCCATGTGCAGGTCATGTGACAGATACAGAGATTCCTGGGACGAGGGCCCCGTCCTTGAGGGCCCTGTCCTTTTGAGGGCTTCCCACATGGGAGGGCAGGTGAGGCTCATGGTGACTGCTGAGGGGAGCCAGACTGCGCATGGGCCTTCAGGAAAGAGAACAAGAAGCTTCCACTGGGGGAGAGCATTTCTGGAAAATACTTCACATACACAGTAACATTTGAATTGGGCCTGGAAAGATGGGTAGCATGTTTCTTCCCATACCAATTAGTGGTAATTTCCCCAGTTACAGAAAAGAAAAAGGAAAAAGAGTCCAACACACAGAGACAGTGACACTTCATTTTTTATTTCTTCCCTTCCCTGCATTTAAAACATTTTCCAAATTATTTTTCTGCATTAAAATTCCCACTCTGCTTATTTTGCTTATTAATACATCATGGCCATTTAGAAAGCTGTTTGGACATCTTAGTAGAGTGTCATTTTGTATGTCCTCGGAGGCAAACGAGAGTGTCCTTCCCTGTACCCATATTGTAGTCTCTCGCATTGTTTCTGTTCAGTTATACACACAAAAACCTGTTGTGAGTATCTTGGTGCTTTCCAGGAAAGCAGCAGAGTTCGAGAGAGGTCTGCACTAAAATCCTGTTCCCTTTAGTGCCTTGTGTAATTTTTGTGCACCAATTATTTTAATTGACAAAGAATATCACCTCACTGTGCCATAGTGGCTCTTATAGACCGGAGCACTTCAGAGGGTCTGCTCCTCCCCCGTCCTTCCTCCCTCCCTTCTTTTCTTCATGTGTTTGATTATTCCTCAGGTTTGAATCCAGGAGCAGAATCACCAAGTTAAAGAATTAAGTTACTCAGAATCTTCATTTACATCACCTAGACTTAAACACAACTCATATTTGGAAAATTTGCTCCATCTGTTATTTTTTGTTGAATACATGATTGAGTTCATGATATTTTACCTGAAATAATTGATTATAAATCTCAAAACAGATTTTCGCCCCTAACCACAATGCCATTCTAATGCCCAGAATATTGATGCTGCTCATCAGTGTCACCACCCATGTGGCTGTGCCCACGTTGCCCCACTTCCTCACACTGTTTCACTGTGTGGCGTCAGGGTCCAGATGAGGTTCATAAAATGCATTTTCTTGTGTCCCTTTGAACCTGTAGATTCCTTCCTTTTTGTTTTTTTCTTTGCATCTTATTTGTTTAAAAAGAGCAACTGGGTTGTCTGTCCTGTTAGCATCCCCTAACGTGAATTTTGCTGATTATGGTCTCATGGCCGTTTTTAATGTGTTTATCACCTTTCTTTTCTATAAGTTGGTAGTTAAATCTAGAAGCTTGATCATGTTTTATTAAAAATTTTTTTGCAAAGATACTTAATTAGGTGGTAGAGAATACTTCCGTCTTAATGTGTCTCAGAGCCATTGGCGATCATTTCCGGACCCTGTGATTCATTAAGATCGCCCAAGGACTCTTTAATCTGCAGCAGTCTCCCATGCAGTTTTTCCCACGTCATTGACTTGAGGAATGAATGGGTAGGGTTGCCACAGGTGGAACCAGGCTATTGCGACAGGAGGAGCTGTGTAAGGCATTGTGTCAGAATAAGCTGGCTGTGTTCTGGGAACAACAAATCAAGTTAGACTGGGGCTTCGGTCATGGGACAGAGAAATGGAAAGAAGTACATAAAGGCCATGTCTCAGGAGCGTGGCCTTTTATCAGTCACCTCTGAAGAACTTGTGAAAGTTCTGGAGTGCAGATCATCTACTCGGACAGGGGGTGGTGGGGCAGGGCGTGGGGACCACTATGACAGCCGGGAGTGGGGGCTTGTCCAACCTGACTCCAGGATGCAGTGAGGTGGAGACAAGCTTTGCTGAGATAGGTGGGCATGTCTTGACTTTATGGGCAGAGTCGAGGAGAAGAAGGTACCGTATTAAGGTGTTAAACTAGGAGTGGCCTTGCTCTCAGAGAGGGTAAGAAAGGCAGAAGGTGTGAGATGGGTTTTGCAGAGCAGGAGTCAGCTTTTGTTTTCAGCAGTTTCAGCTTGTGGGGTCGGCTGCTCCCCCAGCTAAACAGGTTCTGATGGCAGGTGGGATCTCAGGTTGTAGGAGAAGCTGGAGTTGAAGAGTTGGCAGCACTGGTGGAGAGGTGGTGGTGGGACTTGCCGAGGAGGCATACTTAGAGGAAAGGGAGCACTGGGCTGCTGGGGCGAGGAGGAAGGTTTCAGGGAAGGAGGTTGGGGTGGAAGGGCTGCCGAGACATGAAGGAAGGTGAGGATTAAGAGGAAGCCATTGTCTCTTCAGTTCAGGAGGAGGTCTTGGACCCTTAGGGACTCTTTCCACTGGGTTGTGAGGAGTGAAAGGGGAGAGCCAATATCCTTGATTGGAAAGTGGAAAGATGGAAAGGTCTGGGGTTGTGTGAATGTGGGGAAGGGTTTTGTTTTTATTTTTAATGTACAGGATATGGGACATTGTTGGAAATATCCAGTGTGGGGAAACACAATCCATAAAGAAGGAGAAATTGGAATGCAAAGGAATGGGGGCTAAGTGAGGGGGCAGCTTGCAGCCTTTGTCTCATTGACCCTGTTCACAGCATCATTCTAGCTGGACGTCCTCTTGTTTGCATGCATCTCCTCCAGTCACTGAGAGCTCCCCAAGAGGAGCACCTTCCATTGTTCCCACCGAATCCCCAGTATCAAGCAAGCATGGTACAGGAGGCATGGCAATGAACAAATGAATGAATGGGAAAGCATGTTTTGCTGGTTAGAAGCATGGGCTCTCACATTGGGTAGACTGCGGTTCAAATCTCTGCTCAGTCATTCAGCAGCCATTTGGTCTTGGGCAAACCACTCAGCTATTCAGGCCTGTTTCCCCATGTAAACAAATTGGGAATCATAATACTTAGTGATTCTCAGGTCGTGCAGCTTAAATAATTCAGTTAAGTTTCTGCCTGTGGCACAAAGTAAATCTTGATATGTATAAGCTTTGCAAAATGAATAGACTCATGAGTGAAGGTAGACTTAGAAGGGTCCCGTGATCCCAAGGCCAAGAAGAGAGGAAGAAGAGGTAGCTTGGATGTAAGGGAGTGCAGGTACCAGCAGCTGCACAGTGAATTGTCTTCTTGGAGAGGAGGGAAGCCACACGCTTAGCTGGGAGCTTTGGAAACCTTTGGCCCAGCCATCAGCACATGCATGGTTATCCCCAGTAAGGGCTGACACATTTTTGTCATGGACATGGTTGGCACGACCGCAGAGCTCAGCAGACGGGGAAACTGAGGATGGCTGAGCCGTGGTTGGGAGAGTGGCCCTGACTGGAGTGATGTGGACCAGGTGGGACCCTAGGGCTGGCCCACAGAGAGGGGCTGGGGAGAGTGTGGGGTCTGGAGCATGAAAGATAGCAGAGAGCGGGTTCCCTGCGAACACAGGAAGAAGGGAGCAGGAGAGGTGGGAGCATGGGAGGCTCTCACCTGAGAGGGAAGCCCCAAGCCTGAGGTTTGGGAGGTGAGTTACGGGCATGGATCCCTGGGTGATGTATTCACAGGGATCCCCCAGACCCTTACAAGACATTGTCCTGGACACTTAGTGGCAGACTTAGAGTCATGCCTTCCCCTGTTGTATAAAAAGCAATCTCTTGGCATTCACCTGCCTTTATTTCCTTATCTTTAACACAGTTTATAACCTCTTCGAGAAACAGGATGTTTCTCCAGGATGCATCTGGATGAACACTGTTGAAATCATGAATACTTTTAATCATCTGGATTAGCAGCTATCAGAAAACACCTTTAGGAGAATATTTTTTTCCTATAACGTTTATCTTTTTCTCCACAAATACCTGCTTCCTCCCTCTCCCCCAAATTCAGCACTTCACAGTTTTCAGGTTGATAGAAATGACAACAGTTTGCACTGTGCAGAAGGCCCTGTTGTCGCAGTAAGCAACCGTTAGCATCTTTTCTGAAGGGATTGGCACAAAGATGTGGAGTCCGCAGGAGACAGAATGAGTCCCACAGAGGCGGAGGGGAAAGAGGGTAGCACGGCTCCTCCTGGAAACAGGCACTGGGGCATTCATTGGTCGTGTCGGCTGAATGTCCACCAGGCGCCCAGACACAGCAAGGCCCCTCATGCATCTCGGCTGTCTTTCCCCCACAACCATCATGCTCCGTTCAAGCCTGGAATTCTTGGTGTTTCTGGTCATGAGCTGTTGCTGTGCAGGACCTGGCTTTTCTTCCCTCCGGTTGGAAGGTCGTGTCCTTTGGCCCAGGGTTACGCCAGTGGGGGTTGTCCTAAGGGGAGCCCTGAGTGGTGGGTCCTGTGCTGGCTATGCTCCACTTGTCTGTGTGTGCATCATCCATCTATATCCGTCCATCCATCCAAGTGGATGACTTACTAAGTGTTGGGCATTTGTGACATAGACAAGACCCCTAGTTTTGTGGAGTTTGTTTTTGTGACAGGCATAAATAAGGCGATAACAGAGTGACGACAGAGAGTGGATGGTTCTAAAGATAAAGACCTGCCCTGACCTAGGGCTCCCCTCTGGGTCTCTCCATGGAGGTAGGGGAATCCAGAGAAAGCCCTTAAATAACTTGAAGAACAAATAGCATCAGCCATCTTTTGTAAAGAGGCAGCTTTCCACCGTTTTGTGTGGTGAAGCTGAAGTGCTGGGATTTCAGGGTTAGTGCGGCGACGTTCTCACCTGGGGCCAGCGGTGCGGGGCCGTTTGTTACAAGTCTCTGTGTTTCTGGCCGCAGGAATGGGCACGCTCTCCTGGCATTCATGTTCTCGCGACAAGAGGGCAAGCTGAACCGCCAGCAGACCATGGAGCTGGGTCACCACATCCTGAAGGCACACATTTTCAAGGTGAGACACACACCACTGGGAGGAAGGGTCTCACCATTGTTGTCATTGTCTTTGTGAGTTTTTGGAGATTTTCGACAGTTTTATCAGTCCTCTCAGAGCCCTCCACAAACTGCCCTCCAAACACAACCCTCCCCCTTCTCCCTAAAACTAACCACTGTTCTGACTTAGAATCACTCACATTTGTAACTAAATGTTATGGTGACTTTTCCCCCTTTAAGTCCCTTTAAAGTTTCTTTTCACCTAAAGTTGCTATTTCATTCATTCTCTTTTGTTTCCTTGTTACTTCATTGTCAAAGAACATGAGTGACTTGAACTCTATATATTTTGTTTGTTTTTTTGTCAGACAATTTATTTTTCTGAATTTAGAATCAGGTTCAACTTGATCTCTGGTTTTGTACCACCTGGATTTTCTGGTGGCTCTTATTTCTCACAATCTAGTTTAACATGTTCCTCTTTCCTTCAGATTCCCTGTCATTTGGTAGTTGTATCTAGAGGCTTAATCACATTTAGGTTTGATTTTTTCCCCCAGGGTGTCATTATTACTTTGCAATTAGAGTTCAAACTCTGTAGCTCTACACAGGGCTGCTTGCAACAGGAGGCACAGCATTTGTGCTTGCTTCCCTTCCGGTGAGGCCCTCCGCCTCTGCAGGCCTCTGCCTGCACTCATTCACTCATTGTGGGTTACATAATGGTGATATTTTATCGCTTATTCTTCCTTTCATTGACTGGAGAACTTCTATAAAGAGAAGAAACTTTCTCCTCATCAGCCATCTCTCCCCAGGCTTGCAGTTCAAGTGGCAAAGGCCGGTTCATTCCTTGACCCTTAGTTTTGGGTGGACAGGCTCACAGGTCCAGGCCTGCTTAAGCTCGCACCGTGTGTCAGCTCGACCTGCGGGCCCTGGTGCGTGCCTGCTTTTAGACTGGTGCCGAAGCAGAAAAGGAGGAGTTGAGGCTGATCTCCCTCTGATTGTTTCCAGGGCCTCAGCAAGAAGACGGGAATCTCTTCAAGCCATCTCCAAGCCCTGTGGATTGGGTACAGCACTGAGGGACTGTCTGCTGCCCTCGCCTCTCTCAGGAATCTCTATACTCCCAATGTCAAGGTGAGCAAGTAACTCTTCTGCACAGAGAAGCAGAGCCCCAGCCCCATGCTGGCAGCTTTTTCTCCATCCCATTCTCCCTCCCCGCTGCCCTGGGTGGTGCCAAAGGAGATGGAGGAGCTTCTAATGATGCTCTTTCCCTGATGTAAATCACACAGACTTGAAAGCTCTATTACCATTTCTCTTCTAAAAGTTTAGCTTTCCCTCAGCAGGAAGAAGTGGGTGGTCAGGGGAGGCTATGTGAGCACAAGGTGACCATTTCAGAGCCGATGTGATAAGGAAGCAATTCACAAAGGAAACCAAAGGTCAGAGGGAGATTTCCAGGGAAAACTGATTTGAGTGTCCCGAGTTCCTAATCTGGACTGCCTCTTTATGGTTCATAGAAAATTACACATCGATGAGTAACACAAAGCAATATGTATACAGAGGAAAACTACTCCTAAAGCTTGTGTGTGTGTGTGTGTGTGTGTGTGTGTGTGTGTGTGTGTGTGTGTTTATGACCTCAGGAAGCATGTCGGGGTTGGCCACTGCTGAGCCCAGGCACCCTCAGTCTTGGTCAGTGGCTCTCATGTCACAGTATCCTGCTGAGCTTTTTAGGGTAGATTTTTTTCATTCCTCACTTAATGCAGCCTAAGAATCTAAAGCATGCAGAGGCCAAGTATCTGGTTAAATCAGCAGAGAAGGGTTAACTCCCACCAAGTAAGGGAATTACTGTTTTACATTGTAGCAGCTGGCAGCCACCTTTTCCAGTGCAGAGCAGAATGAGATTGTAAATATTTTCACATCTGAGCTTCCTCACCCACTTGACACATCTGCTGGGCTCCACAAGCCCTGACGTGCCCGGCGGCCTGCAGAGGCTCTGAGGCACGTTCCCAGGGAGCCAGGTCTTCCCTGTCCATCACCTCCAGGAAAACAGTCATACCTGTTTCCCCCTTAGTAGTGAGGGCGGCCTGATGTGGTAGTGCAGCAAAGGACAAAGGAAGCCCTGTAGTTTCCAGGCATGTCTTCCACTTCTCACTTTGGGTTCATCAAACTCACCTGGGAAGGGGGCACGTGCCCCAGAGATGGTGCTGGGGGACACTCCTGAGAGACTTCCGCATCGCCTTTCCCCTTCTGTCTACACCGCCCCCATCCCCAGCACACGCACTGGATGCGTGCCCGGGGGTCTGGGCTCGCAGAGCACTTCCCGTGTCCCGGAGTTGTTTGCTCTGCCCCTGTCTCCCTTCCCTGCCTTCCTGGTGTACTTTCTTTCTCTCTTTTTTAAAAGATTGAGATATAACTAACATCTAACACCATATTTCACATATACAACCTAATGGTTTGATATTTGTATGTATTGCAAAATGACTAGCACAATAAGTTTAGTTAACATCATCACCACATAGTTACACATTTTTTTTCTTGATGATAACATTTAAGATACACACTCTTGGCAACCTTCAAATACACGATACAGTGTTATTGACGACAGTGACTGTGCTGTACGTTCACCCCACCTTTCTGACACACAGAGGGGAGGGTGTAACGAAGCCTGGGGGTGGAGGGGATAGAGGATGCTGAATGAGAAGCCCGCGTGCCCGAAGGACCGCGCAGCAGTGCTCTGACTCCGGAGCTCTGCTGCCCCGTTTAGGGCCCTGGTGTTAGTCAGAGAAAGACCACCGCCTCCAGGGGGACTCGGGCAGGGTGTTTGCAGAGATCAAAGTGCTGCCTCATGTGGGTGGACTCAGCCCCCTGTTAGGGTCTCAGACTCGATGGTCAGGAGCACATTGGATCACATGCTGACACACCCCTCGGCTGGCGCCTGGGAGCAGGGCCCCCTGGAGAACCGCTGCGTGTTTGCATCTCTCTCCAGACCTGGAGGTGTTGTTTGCATCTTTCTCCAGACCTGGAGGTATGAGCGCTTGTGTCTCAGCTGAGCTGCACACACAGGTCTGTGGGCAGATGGACAGGGAAGCTGTTGGTGTGGTTAAGGAGAATTAGCTTCAAGCTGCTTCTATCAAGGGAAGCACTTCCTTTCTAGGTGGAGTTACTCAAAAAGAAAGGTGGAGAGCACAGCTGAGTTTAAACCTCACATGATAAAGTATTAAGAATTTGTGTTGTACTTACATTTCATAGAAATTGGGTTGAGTTTACAATAATAACATTGTTTCATCTTTTGTCTCAGTAAAAAGTATACCTTTTGGCTTGTCCATAATTTAAAAAATTTTATAATGATGGCAAGGAAGAAAGAAATAAGAATAAAAATGGAAATCTCTGTTTTTACTGCTTAAATGAATTGTGGGCACAGAAGTTATTCCTTTAATATGGAGAAAGTTAAATGGGAAACGCCATACTTGTTGAGTATGAGTTTTTAAGACAGTAAATTAAAAGGGGCAGCATAACACTGCAGTGAACTTGACCCTCCTGGGGTTGTAAATGCCCCTCTTTAACATACTTGCTCTTGTCAGCATCTCCTCTTTCCTTTGTCCTAGAGAGCTCGGGTCACCTACACCCACCCTGTCCCCAAACCCCTACAGCTTGGTTACAGGGTTTTGAGACTTTCCATTATCCTTCTGTTTCCTTTTATCTTTCAGGAAAAAAAAATAAAAAGGTTTTCACAGACTCTTGAATAAATTACAGTAATTTAAAATTATGCATGCAATTAAGGAACTTTTTTTAGAGAGTATTAAATGTTGTCATACAGGAATGGATGTCATTTTGAGCAATAATTACAGTTTGTCACTTCGGTAAATTAAAGTGACTTTGCTCCAGAATGATTATTTGGTTAGATGAATTTTAATTTTAATGGCATGCCAGTGACTTCTAACAATAGAGTCTCCCGTTGCCCAGTGAGCAGCCTGCCAGCCCAGGCCCTGGCCGGCCCACTGGGGCCCCTGCCACCAGTGCCGCCAGGCTCCCGTCCAGCTGGCTGTTTGGCTCACCCTGTCCCATGGGACTGGTTGCCAGCCAGGGGCTTCCCAAGCCTGTGGATGCAGGAGGCTTTAGGCTGTGATTCTTCTCTCAGCTGAAGGCAGGGAGGAGAAGAGATGGAGGTAGGCACGGACTCGTCCCTTGGCTGAGAGGATCCGGTCATATTCTGCACGACAGGGAGGCCATGCCCAGTGTAAAGGGGCTGTGTGGATGGGAACCTCCAGGATACTATCAGGGAACTGAGACTTGCACTTTCCGATCATGCAGGCCAGGGCCTCTCCTGTTCCTCATGATCGCTTCTCCGACCCTCAGCCCCTTCCTGTGTCCTTCTGCTCATTAAATCCAGAAGTTTATAGATAATATTGCCATTACCAGATGTTATCCAAGGAGACTGTCTGTGGTGGTGATGGCTGGAAAATTTCCATATAGTTGGGGAAAATGTAGAGGATGAACCATTTAAACCCCTTCCGTGAACGCAGAGTAATCTCAGTGAGAGCTGCTGCACTGCCCCGTGACAGTCAGTAGCTTTGCACCCCGAGATAATCTGTGCTTCATTCCCCCTGGGCCTCAGCCTTCTCACGTGCCAAACGGAGGTAACAAAAGAGCCTGTCTCACAGTGATGGGAAACCTCACCAAGCTGTTCAAGTTCTAGGAAAAATACTGGGCATTTATTACATGGGCAAGTGAACTGTTTTTGTTAGTGCTTTGTCTCCTTTCTGGAAACCGAGACTCTGCTGTGGGCACTCGAAAGCTTCTGGATGTGCCTGTTGGTGGTGCTGAGGAGGAGCTGCCTGCCAGGGGTTTTTGGTGGGTCCAGGTGACTCACACCTGCTGTCGGGTTAGTATGAGGTGAGGCAGTGCCGGGGCAGAGCACCCTCCTGTGCCTTCTCCTTGTCCCTGGGCTTTTTGTTTCTTCTGAAGAGTCTGTGAAAGGCGGTTGTCATGATCGCAGTGAAAACTTACATAGCGCTTACAGGATGCTGAGGACTGTGCTGAGTGCTGTGCTTCTGTGTGTGTGTCATGTTCACTTTTAATCTTCACAAGCACCCAGTGAGGTGAAACTGTTTTTAATCTCCATTTTTCAGATGAGACTGAGAGCAGTGAGTAGCTTGCCACAGATCACACAGCTGGAAGTGTGCCTGAGTAAGGGCATGCCCACGCTCTACAGGTTCATCTACCATCTCCTGTGTTCACAGCTCTGGCTGCCAACTGGAGTCACTGGGGAGCTGGGTGCCTCAGCCAAGGCAGAGTCTCCGAGGGTGGGGTGCAGCATTGGACACTTTAAAGCTCCTAGCTGGTTTCCGTGTGCAGCAGGGTGAAGAACCATGGGTTAGGGTAAGACCCACAAACCTATTGGGGGTTAAGCAGTAAAAATACCCATAGCATTGCACCATGAAGGAAATGTTTTTTTTCCCAGGAAGCAAATAAGGTGTGAACTGTTGAAAAACATCTTTAGGAAAGCTTTGCCCTTAAGTGCATACCATCCAGGTAATGTCTTGTGAGGTGTCTGCAAGACTGTACTGAAAGTGTACCTTCCGAAGTTGTTAGCAGAGAGTCCCTGTTGGGTAGAGTGGGGTGGTCTACTGGCTGTTTTCTCAGGAGGCCCCTGAAGCTCAGAGAGGTTGAATAATGTTCTGAAAATCACACAGCAAGTTAGTGAAGGGGCTGATTGAGAACTCAGACAATTTAATCCATCATCTTTTTTCTCAGTTTCATCCATCTTTCTGTTAGGCTCGTGGATCACAGGAGGTTATGGGATTGGTGGGAGAGGGGCGGGAAACTGGCTGCTCACCCAAGGAATTACGGGCCGTTCCTGCCCGTCCTGTGGTGAGCAGGGTCTGGGCTGCCTCCCAGCAAGGGGATGTTGTGTGCGTTCTGAGAAAGCTGCCAGGGCTCTCCTATATTCCTCTTGGTAAGAATCAATTTCCTTAGCTGCTTTAAAATCCCCAAGTATTTCACCAGCATTATCTTGTTCTTTCCATTCCTAATGGTAGTTACTCAAGGTGAAATCACTTTCTAAAAATCCCTTACTTTCATTTAGCACTTACAATTTTAAATACTTTCAAATCCTATTTGAGTCTGGTGCTGCTTTTAAGAGCAAACCCATGCAGGTTTGCAGAACAGGCCCGGTCACAGGGGTGAGGTCATGTGTTAAATGTCGTTGTAGCACAGGGACACCTCTGATTTCTCTTCTGAGTGTTCTCTGCCTTTCCATCCATGAGTGCCGGCTGGCTCGAGGCTGAGTGGGTGCTGACCTGGGTGGAGCTAGAAGAGGGTCCCCTCCGAGGGCCGTAAGTGACAGGGCATGTGCTGGCTCATGGGGCCTCCTCAGCACTGTGCATGTCCTGTCCTTCCTGAAATGCAGGTGATATCCTGGAGGTGGGGAGACCTGGCACGTGGGCCATCCTGTCGTGGAGGGCCTTTGTTCCCCACTGTGCCCTGTGAACTCTGGAATCTTACGGCCAATGCCCAGGGTTGCTGGGGGCCCGGGGGTGTGGTCTAGTGTGTGGACAGGTGTGCACATGTGCAGAGGCCTGTGGGCAGTGCTAGTCTGTCACCTGCATCTACAGAAAGGTCATTCTTGGCAGAGGGAGCTGTATGGGAAAAGGCCAGGAGGCTGAGGCCTGCTTGCTGCTATAGTGCAACAAACACTGGACCCTGCCCATGTGGCCAGAGTGCGGGAAGTGAAGGGAAAGGTCTGGGAGAGGTCGGAGAGGCTGCTAGGTCATGTGGGCTTCAAGCTCCAGCAGCAGCCAGGACACAGCAGAGGTTACACTCTGGCTTCTAGCCAGCCTTCATGCTGTCACTGTTCCGAGGGGTGGTTTCATCACCCAGTAGCATTACTTTCTATAGTTTGTGCAAATCCCATCAGCTACTCCTGTGGACACTTATCTTTGAAAGAACTTGGAATTTATATGATGTATCATCCTTCTGTATCTTTTAATGATCCCTGGGACTCCAGTCGAGTGAATGATGCAGTCTCTGGTTCTCACACCTGGTGGGCAGCCTGGAGGCCTGGCGGGGAGGCGGGGGGGAGGGGGGGGGGCGGGAGGTGCTGCCCAGACTGTGGAGGGAACTGGCAGAACAAATGCAGGAGGCATTTTAATAGGTGTTAAAGGGCTGTCATTTTTTCAGTGATCTGGAGAAATACAGAAGATATCAGAACTACAATTTGCATAAGTTATTCAGTGATTTTACTTTAAAATTTGTGGAGAAACCGCCCCTCATACCTGGATCCAAGTAGTCCAGTGTGTGGTGGATGTAGTAGTTAGAAGAGGGTTATTTTTAGGAGTCTGGAGCTGCTGACGGTCCTGGGCACGGGCATTTTCCTGGGTTCCGCTTGTTCTTTTAGGTCCACGTCCTAGGGAAGAAAGGAGCATGTTCGCATTTACTTCTGGCCTGGTTATCGCAGTGATAATTACTTAACCCTGTGATGATTATTGCATTGCCAGAAACATTAATTTTGTTTTTATTTAGATTAAGCAGTGATTTTTCAAGTGTTGGACCCCCCAGACCAACATCATTAGCATAAGCACCAACAGCATTAGCATATGCTGTGAACTCATTAAAAAGGCACATTCTCAGGCCTGACCCCAGATCTAAGTGAATCAGAAGTCCAGGAGGTGAGGCGTGAGAATGCACTTTTAGAATTTTTTTGTTTTTAATTTTATTTTAAAAAAAAAGAAACCCATAAAATTTATTGTCATAACTATTTAAATTTTTTTAACTTTTAGTATAGTTGGTATGTATTAGTTACATTGGTTTCAGGTGTAGGTACAATGCTTTGACATTTTTTATACGTTACAGTGTGTCAGGCCCCTAATTCTAGTGATGACCTGTGGCGGTGCAAACTTATCATGGTGTCATTGACTGTTTTTCCCTTCCCTCTGTTCACCCAGCCCCCACACTCTCCCTCCTGGTAATCATCCCTTTAGTCTCTGTTTTATCATAACTATTTTTTAAAATATCCTTTATTGATTATGCTATTATAGTTCCATTTTTTTTCTCCCTTTTATTCCCCTCTACCCTGCACACCTCCTTCAACCAGTATCCCCCGACCTTAGTTCATGCCTGTGGGTTGTACGTATAAGTCCTTTGACTTCTCCATGTCCTATACTGTTCTTAACCTCCCCCTGACAATTTCGAACCTACCATTTATGCTTGTTATTCCTTGTACATTTCCACCCATTCTTCCCCCTTACCCTCCCCTCTGAAAACCCTCCATGTGATCTCCATTTCTGTGATTTTGTTCCTGTTGTTTGATTAGTTTGTTTTTGTTTTTGTTTTTTGTTTTTTTTTTAGGTTTGATTGTTGACAGTTGTGAGTTTGTTGTCATTTTACTTACTGTTCATAGTTTTTATCTTCATTTTCTTAGATAAATCCCTTTAACCTTTCCTATAATAAGGGTTTGGTGATGATGAACTCCTTTAACTTGACCTTATCTGAGAAGCACTTTATCTGCCCTTCCATTCTAAGTGAAAGCTTTGCTGGATAGAGCAATCTTGGATGTAGGTCCTTGCCTTTCATAAGTTGGAATACTTCTTTCCAGCCCCTTCTTGCCTGCAAGGTTTCTTTGGAGAAATCAGCTGCTAGTCTTGTGGGAACTCCTTGGTGTAGATATCTATCTCCTTTTCTCTTGCTGCTTTTAAGATTTTCTTCTTATCTTTAATCTTGGGTAATGTAATGATGATGTGCCTTGGTGTGTTCCTCCTTGGGTCCAACTTCTTTTGGACTTTCTAAGTTTCCTGAGCTTCCTGGAAGTCTATTTCCTTTGCCAGATTAGAGAAGTTCTCCTTCATTATTTGTTCATATGTTTTTAACTTTTTGTTCTTCCTCTTCTGCTTGGCACCCCTATGATTCGGATGTCAGAATTTTCAAAGTTGTCCTGAAGTTCCCAAGCCTCTCCCCATTTTTCTGAATTCTTGTTTCTTCATTCTGTTATGGTTGAATATTTATTTCTTCCTTCTGCTCCAAATTGAGTCCTGATTTCCTTCCCATCACTGCTGGCTCCCTGTACATTTTTCTTTATTTCGCCTTGCATAGCCATCACTTCTTCCTCTATTTTGTGACCATACTCAACCATTTCTGTGAGCATCCTGATTACCAGTGTTTTGAACTCTGCATCTGATAGGTTGGCTATGTTTTCATCGCTTAGCTCTATTTTCGGAGTTTTGATCTGTTCTTTCATTTGGGCCATATTTCTTTGTTTGGGCACACCTATTATGTAGTAAGGGAAAGAACCTTAAGTATTTGCCAGGGCAGGGCAACCCACTTTGCTGCGTTATAGTGCTGTATGTGGGGAAGGAGTCTGAAAGGAAACAATGCTGCTTGCTTGGCTCTCAGCTGGCTTTCAGTCACTTCGTCTGCTACCTACAAGCAAATGGGGCCCTTCTGGTGCTGATTTTTGGGTGAGTGGGTTTGTGTATGTTCTAGGACCCTGTGGGTCTCTCCAACGAACTCTCCTGTGAGGCTGGGAGTTTCTTCCACCACCCAAACCCCACATGTTTTTACAGCCAGAGGGTTTGAGGCTTTATTTCCTGGGCTGGAACCCTAGGTGGCATGGTCTGTCTCCCTCCCCTGTTGTTCCTCCTGGTTTATCCACGTGTCCTCTTGCCTGTGTGCCTGTCTCCTTCCTTCCTACTGATCTGAATGAATGTTTCTTCTTTAACTCTTTGGTTGTCAGACCTCCATACAGTTTGATTTTCTGGCAGTTCTGGTTATTTTTTGTTTTTAAATTTGTTACTGTCTTTTGTTTGGTTGTGTGAGGCGGCAAAGTGTATCTGCCTATGTCTCAATCTTGGCCGGAAGTCCTATCTTAACTGTTTTTAAGTGTAGAATTCAGTAGTGTTAAGTATATTCACATTATTGTACACTAGATCTTTAGAAGTTTTTTTCATTATGTAAAACTAAATCTTTATACTCATTAAACAACTCTCATTTCACCCTCCCCCTGGCCCTTGGCCAGTAGAACCTCCATTCTACTTTCTGTCTCTGTGAATCTGACTACTGTGGGTACTTCATGTAAGGAATCATAATATTTATCTTTCTGTGTCTGGCTTATTTCACTTAGCATAATCTCCATATGGTTCATCCAAGTTGGAGTGTATGTCAGAATTTCCATCCTTTTAAAGGCTGAATAATATTCCATGTTATGCAAATGCACGTGCATATTTGTTTATCCATTCAATCATTGAAGGACATTCAGTTTGCTTCCATCTCTTGGCTATTGTGTATAATACTGCAGTGAACGTGGCAGAGCGGACATCTCTGGGATCCTGATTTCGTTTCCTTTGGATATGCACCCAGATGTGGGATTGCTAGATCTGAGGGAACCTCTACAATGTTTTCCATAGCTGCTGCCCATTTTATGTTCCTACACTCAGAATGTGCACTTGCAACACATTCCCAGGTAATGCTGGCAGACATTCAAGTTCGAGGACCACTGGATTAAAATGAGAATGCTGCCCTTCTCCCCAAAAGTTGTTGTAAATATTGCCCTGGCCTGGTGGCTCAGTTGGTTGGAGCATCATTTTATACACCAAAAGGTTTCCGGTTCGATTTCCAGTCAGGGTACATACCTAAGGTGTGGGTTTGATCCCCAGTGGGTTGCATGTGGGAGGCAACTGATTGATGTTTCTCTTTTACTCTCTCTCTCTCAAGTTAATAAACATCTCCCTGGGTGAGGATTAAAAAAAAGTTGCTGTAAATGCTGTGAAATTTATGTAAGAAATTAATGTTGTTGGGGTATGTTATCCAACAGGTGAGCCGCCTCCTGATTTTGGGAGGGGCCAATGTCAACTACAGGACAGAAGTGTTAAATAACGCCCCGATCCTGTGCGTCCAGTCTCACCTTGGCCATGAGGAAGTGGTCACTCTGCTCCTGGAATTTGGTGCCTGCCTGGATGGAATGTCAGAGAACGGCATGACTGCCCTCTGCTACGCGGCAGCTGCTGGCCACATGAAGCTGGTGTGTCTGCTGGTCAAGAAGGGGGCAAGGGTAAGCAGCAGCCTTCCCCAGTGGGTGGGAAGTGTCGTCAGTTCCTTGTTAGAATTATTGACTGGGCCAGTCTTTCCTTCATCTCTACATTGTTGAATTGCGATGAATAGAAATTGCCCCATAAACAGAAAGGGTGGAGCTCAGGCACTGCTGTGTGATGTTGGCCGAGTGGGTGCTCGAGTGCACAGCCATGGAGTCAAGGGGCCTTGTGTCTTGCTCCTAAGCTCTTACTCTGCTTAAGGTTGCCCAGGGGAGGCAGGCTACCAGGCAGGTCCCTTGCCACCAGCGGCAGGCATAGGGCCATCCTTTCAAAAGCCTACAAGTGTGGACCTAGAACTTACCACAGAATTTAACACAGCACTGATAGGTTGAAAAGATTTAAATGTTTGATTTTTTTTTCTCACCTTACTCCATTTCATGCCTCTTTTGAAACAATAAAATGAGTTCCATGGGTCTTAGCCCAGAATCCTCATCTCTCCAACTACCAGCTGGGATGTCGGGCAAGTTGTTGAGGCTGCATGCCTCCGGCTTCTCATCTATAATGTGGGCAAAACAATAGTACTACAGGGCTGTTGTGTGAGCATTAAATAAGTGAGCACGTTAACCTTTTTATTCAGTGAGTTACTGCAGGAGCATCGGTGTTCCTAGATTAGATGAGGATAGAGCCTAGTGCATAGTGAAGCCCATGTGGTTCACTATGAGCATTTCGTTGTGGCAGGGGAGGGAGATGTGCTTTGAATGGCAACAGAAATGGATTGCTGATATTTGCCTTTATGTTGATCAGGATATTTAAGGTTCAACAAAAAGACGTTAGGCTTTAGTAGCAAAGGGAGCCTTTTTGGTTTTTCACATGACGTTTGGAATGGCTGAACTTCAACTCAGCTCATGGAAGAGGAGAGTCATTGCTGTTAAGCCTTCCAGCGGGCACATTCATGCACATCCCCACGCCTCCCTTTCCCCATCCAAACCGTGACCTAGCTTTATTCAGAGGCCGACAGGAACCCTCCCATCCCAGCTGAGAGGTCTGTAGGAGGAGGCCAAGGGTCAGAGCATCCCCAGAATGTGCAAGCAAGGAGAGTCTGTACTCTACGCCCCTCTTCCAGCCTAGTATTCTCAAGTGTAGTCAGGGAGTGGCACGTTGTCTGCTGCCTTTGAACCCTCAGGAGGTACGCAGCACACGAATGCTCTTTGTGGCTAGCTGGCCTTCCCAGCTTTGTAGCCACATTTGACCTACTGACTTGTCCCTGGTCCCCTGCCTGCACATGGCCTCCTTCCCCAGTCAGACGCCACTCAGAGTCTCTTCCTGACCTTCCTCACTCACGGCTGGGTTTTCCAGATACTGCCCTCTTGCTGGCCCTGCTGGCTTAGTGACTAAAGAACTGCTCTGCTCCCCCAATCATAGCTTGTCACAGCGGATTTAGAACGTTCCACTCAAGGGACTGGAGTTGGTAAGCACAGGCCTTTGGCTGAGCTTTTGGTCTGCGTCCTCACACCTGCTTCCCAGAGAACTTGGAGCTCCCAGTTGTTTGCTGAAGAGACACAGGGAGTGAGCAGGGTGGCCTGATAGCTGGTTCTACAAGGGGAACCCAGAACCTGGAACAGTGCATTCACCATGTCCAAGTAATTCCAACGGGGATTTGGTGTATTCCAGAAAGATGTGTTGGGACAGAAACCCCATGTACATATGCAGTGGGATGGGGTTTGCACACAGCACTTGGGTGGCATCTGTGCTCTCAGAGAAAAGGTGACCTAAAGTGTGACCTTTCCTGCTGCTGCTTTCCAGTTGGACCATCTGGATAAGAAAGGCCAATGTGCGCTGGTCCATAGTGCACTGAGGGGCCACGGTGATGTTCTCCAGTACCTGCTGAGCTGTGAGTGGTCGGCGGGTCCTTCGCAGCCAGGCGCACTGAAAAAGAGCCAAGCCCTGCAGCAGGCATTGACGGCGGCTGCCAGCATGGGCCATAGCTCGGTGAGTGCGGCTGCCCGCTTCCTTCTTGGGAACCTGGAAGCTGTAGTCCTGTGGGGTGGGTACTTGTGCCACTCATCTTCTTCGGGGTACTAGCCTGTGATGCAAGGAAGAGACGAAAGAAAATGAGGATTTCAAGAAACAGCGGTTGGTTTGACCATGCTTAGCCACAGTCCAGGGCATTGGCATCCTCTGATGGGGGCAGACCGTCCCATGTGCCCTTCATAACACTCGTAATGTTTTTTCTCTGCTCTTCCTTGTCTGTTTCTCTCTTCCTTCCTCTTCTACTTTTATCCTCTTGTCCTTCGGCCTTACCACCTCCCCACCCCAACACCCCCCACACACTTTGGTTCATTCCTTTGTCCTTGTGATCTTTTAAAAATAATCACATGGGATCCGAATTCTAAAATTGTTCTTGAGCGCACTGAAGGATTTAAAAAATACACCATCAGTGCTCTCACAGCCTGCAAGAAAGACTGTCGTTTGCAGTTCCTGCACCAGAAGAGACCTTCCAGCAGTAGTTCAGTAGGGCACTTACTGCTGGTAGGTGTTGGCAGTCCTCTGTCTGAAGGTTTAATTGTCATCTCCTGACAGTGTGTCTGTGAATTTAATAATGCCTTTCCTGCTGCCTTCCGTGTATTTCTCACTCTGTGTTATCCTCAGGCAATCAGACTTGCCAGTATTTGGTAAGAGTTTTCCCCACAATGATTTAAAGTAAATTTGGGTGCAAAGCTGGCTGGCTGCCTTTTGGCATTTAAAACACAAACACAGACATACACAGCTGTGTGCACACACATGGGTGCACACACATTAAAAATACACATATACAATGTACATTGGTGCAATATATTGCCACAAGTTGAATGCAGAAACATAAGAGAATAGAAAGACATGAGAGGTTTACAAAAATACACAACACCTGTCAACCTCTGTTTTAGTTTTGGAAAAAATACTTTCTTAAAAAACCATATTTCATAAAAATGAATTGTTATATATGATAGGTTTATGATAAACTCAGCTTGTTTGAAAGCTGGCTGGGAGGAATGCTGTGTAAAAGCAACCTCAGCCCAGCCAGTAATGGCTTTGTGGAGAAGGGCAGGATTCATTCACCAAAACACTTGAAGGGCATATTATATTGGCTTCCTAATGCTGCGGTACCAAGTGACCCAGATTTCAGAGGCTTAAAACAGCACACACCTATTCTCTTACAGATCTGGAGGTCAGGGGGCTAAAATAAGGTGTTAGGAAGCCAGCGTTCCTTCTGGAGGCACTAGAGGGGAATGGTTTTTAGCTTTTTCTAGTTTCTGGAAGCCACCTTAGCTTGTGGCCCCTTCCTTTGTCTTCAGAGTGCATCACTTTAGCCTATGCCTCTGTCTCCCATCCCCCTCAGACATGCTTCTCCTGTCCCTCTTTTAAGGAAGTGGTGGTGACATCAGGTGTATGTGAGATACACACCGAGGTAATTCAGGTTAATTGTCCCATTTCCAGATATGTAATCACATCTGCACATTCCTTCTTGCTATATGAGGGAACATTCCCAGGTTTTGGGATGAAAGTATGGACATATCTGAGGGTGTTGTTCAGCCTACCACAAAGGGTGCAGATCAGGAGACAGGAAAATGGCTTCGCCGTCCTCTCCTGCTGCTGCTGCTGCTGCTGCTGCTGCTGCTGCTGCTGCTGCTGTGTGGGGCGAATGCTGGCTGTGGTCTAGGCTCCAGTACATCGATTGTCCATGAGCCAGGTTCTGCCTCCACCCCTATGGCCCCACCTGCCCTTTGGTGGGGCAGATGCCCATATGGAAAAGAATAGCAACACTGTTGGAAGAAAAATCATTTGGACAATATTGTTTATTTTATTGAAGAGATATGCATTGTCTTGTCTTCTCTCCTTGTGAAAATGGAGTCACCATCTTCCGGCAATTTATGCAGAAACTGCCCTCCCTGTGATCTCCTGGGCCCTGTGTTGATGGGGCTGGCATATCTGGGTCATGCTGGAATTCATTAAAATTCTGAGTACCTGTAATCCTGAACAATGTTGCTGAAATTCACTGAGATTTTTTTTTATCCTTCCCAAAGTGAAAGTGTGACTAGTGTATGAATTCTGCTTGAAAAGGTTTTCATTATATATTCTCTGCTTGTGCAGCATGAGATAATCATGGTGGAAAAACAACACACTCTTTCCTTTGATACGAGGGCTCTAATAAGCACATACGGCTATGAGAACTCATTAAATCACCTTGCCACTCCTGACAGGTGGTCCAGTGCTTGCTGGGGCTGGAAAAGGAACATGAAATAGACATCAACGGAGCCGACACGCTGTGGGGAGAAACAGGTAATTACGGTTCCATGTTTACGGTCTGGACCAGCCTGCTGTTTGGGCCCCATTTTAGCCTCATCGCCTTACGGATGATTTGGGGCACACATTGTCCTGTTGTTGCTTTACTGTGAGGCATTTGAAGCCTACAGCTTTTATTTATTTTTTTTATTTAAAAAAATTTTTTCACAGTATATCATTTTATATATATGTTTTAAAGATTTTATTTATTTATTTTTAGACAGAAGGGAAGGGAGAAAGAGAGGTAGAAAAACATCAATGTGTGGTTGCCTCTTGTACACCCCCTACTGGGGACCTGCCCCACAACCCAGGCATGTGCCCTGGCTGGGAATTGAACCAGCAACCCTTTGGTTCACAGGCTGGCATTCAATCCACTGAGCCACACCAGCCAGGGCTAAAGCTTACAACTTTTAAAACTTCCCAAATGAGCAGTAAAAAGTTTCCTAAAAGCATATGAAATTTGAATCATTTCAAATTAGACTAGAGGTTCCTATTAATCTGATGAATGTCAGCCAAGATACCTACAAAGGTATTCCCTTAACCTAACCAACATGGTCTCCTGTGAGCATGGCAGGAACTTCCAGCCCCAGCTGCAGATGCTGCAGGTGCTGCAGATGCTGCAGGTGCTGCAGATGCTGCAGATGCTGCAGATGCTGCAGATGCTGCAGATGCTGCAGGTACTGCAGGTGCAAGAAAGGCTGTGGCCTGCCTGCCTTGTTGAATGAGAGCAGGACCCAGGCCTCGAGGGCCTACTTAAAATACTGAAAACAAGCTACCAAGTCCATGTCCGTTGCTGTGAGGTATGTGTGTTTCACTGTAGCAAGGGAGGGAAGCTTGCGGTGAGTGTGTCTTAATGAAGATCTGAGTTGGCAACCTGTCAGCTTGATATGGAGAATTCTGCTTTGAGGTTTTCTATTGGACTGAATTGGTATTGGAATGTGAGACTTGAAGGTACAAGTCGTTGAAAAGATGTAGCCAACAGTGTTGAATGTGTACTTGCAGGGGATGCACTTCTCACAACTTCCACCTCTCCTGTGCAGATTTGTTTCCACATGCTTCTGAATTATTTCCTAATAAGCCACATGGCAGTGCATAGAGTTTGTCAGCTAACTCATACTTAAGAAAAGCCTCAGAGTTTGGGGGTGGGTAAGACACAGGCCTGCTGCACCTCAGGGCCTGGCGTCCTCCCCAGGGGTCTGCCACCTGTGGCTGGCAGTGCTGGTGTGCTGCCTCAGGGGGTGGTGGCCTGGCGCCTGCTCCAGGGTGAGTGCAGGACCCCAAACAGGGTTGAATTATGCTTGAGGCTAAGTGTTTAGATTTCATTATTGTCCTTAATTCTTTACAGAGTCTTTCCCCTGCACATTTAAATGGTATAGGCTGCTCTGCACTCTGGGGAAGAAACAGTTACATCCACTTCCATCTTGTGTTGTGGGCAGCAGTTACTTTGCCTCCTTGGCAAATGAGGTACTTGGTATCTGCTTTCCAGGGTTGTGGTGAAGACACAGATTCTTGTCCAAACATACCTAACAATAGGAACCCCAGCATGTGGGTGCCTAGACATCCTGATTCAGCAGGTCCTGGGGAGCCCGGGACTCTGTTTCTTAACAGGCACCCCAGGTGGTGTCAGTGACTCGCGCTTCAGGACAGGCAGAGAACCACGGTGAAAGCTGTGTGAGGTGTCCAGCTTTTGGTGACACAGACTGAGAGGTGCCCAAGGTGGCGATGGGGTTAGTGCTAGTAGTAGCTAATGGCACACCAGAGCTCAAATGGGAATCTCCAACCTTTACTACTGATGACGATTTTTCTTTCTGGAAGAAGAACCCAGAGAAGGGCTGTATTTGAAGGCACTGTGTGAGTGGTCTGTTGTGTCTCTCGATGACCCACCCTGAATTTCAGGACCGCCACCACCTCCTGCCCAGCCCCCCTGAGAGTCTGCTAGGTTGATGGCTGAAGAGTCATGGAAGAGAAACCACTGATTCCCATCAGTCTTAATGAAAAGTTGAAGAACGGCTCAGTCCCACCTTCCAAAGCATAACCTTCAGATCACTTGCAACCTAGAAGTAGTTCTCACTCTTCCTCAGCAGGTTTCAAGGTGAAGTTCATCACCCAAGAGTTTGAGGGACTTGGAAAAAAATTTATTTACACCAAGAAAAAGTTGAGCACTGTTTCTCAGGTGCGCGGGGCCCTGGGGGCTCTCTGTGGGCTGTGTGTCGGTAAAATCGGTCTCACCTTCTCAGCATTTCCCATCTGCCACCTTTCTCTTGTGTTCCTTCAGAAACGACCACACTTGCCTGCTCCCCTGCTCCTCCTGATTTCCTGGTCTGTGGTTGTCAAAGAAGGCTGTACTTTGAAATCTTGCAGAGGAAGTTTTAAATGAGAGCATCTGCAAATTTGGGGCATTGCCCAGATCATGAGGTCCTTGTTTGGGATTCGGCCACAGAGGGCCCACGTTACCCAGCCCCCTACGCCCCCGGAACAGAAGGCCCAGACAATGAGAACACAGACGGGCATCAGCTCACTGTCCTCATTCCCACTGAGCAGCAACCTGATGGTGCCCTGGCCGTGTGGCCTGTGCTGCTCTGTGTCCTGCTTCTAATTGCTACGGACCCTTGGAAGGGAGAGCAGTTGTTTTGCTTCCTGGTTCTGTTTGGTCCTCATTCCTGGGTGTGGTCAGTAGTGCTTTGTGTCTCAGACCCTCGAGAACGGAGCTTGTCTGTCTCCAGCCACGACTTGCGGGCAGGATCATGAGTCTGATTCTGTCTGGAGTGTGGGAAGATGACAGAACAACTGGAAGCTCTGTGTGAATAATACAGTTCATTACATGTCTTTAAACACTTGTGTAAGTTTAGACCAGTCTGTCAGTGTAGCTTCAGCTGTGAACATCATGTCTTTAAAATACCCGCTGATGGGGTTACAAGGCAGGGTCTCCTGGGTCTGTTTTTGGCTCACCTGGCTGGCTTTGAAGGGCCTGTTGTTTTCTGTACAGTGACACTGCCCTGTTTGGAGCACAGCCACCTGCCTGTCCTTCTCTGATAGCCACATTCCAGAACAGGGGACACTAAATCTGTGCACAGCGGCCTCCCCCACTTTTCTGCGGGGTGGAGGGAGGACTTTGCAGTCCCAGTGTGTGTCCTGTACTCTGCAAAAGCGTGGTTGCTCTGCCCAGTGCCGACTGGAAGGAGCAGGTCATCTGTGAGAGGGGATGACAGCTGACAGCGCGGGGCACAGGGAATGCGGCAGACCTACTTGAGGTCCCTCGTCACTCAAGGCAGTCCAGGTGGAGATGGTGGGAGTAGGGACAATCGTGCATCTTTAGTACCAGGTGCATCTCCCTCCTGATGACCCAGAGTCCTCAGAAGTCATCACAAAGGGGATGGTTCCTGTCTTAGGTTAAAGAGACAAGAAAGCATGTAAGATCTTAAAGGCACTCATCTAAAGTGGTAACAGTGTTTAGTGTAGGGTTTGTGGCAGTAAATCTACAGTTTTCAGAAATCGTAGACTATCTCCACCAGTTCTAGAGAGCTAAGTTTCCACCAGTTTCCACTGGTAGACTATCTCCACCAGTTCTAGAGAGCTAAGTTTCCCTTTTCCCCAGCACCTGGGGCCACTTGCTTTTTGTGTCTATTTGATGGTGAGAGCCCAGCCCTTCAAAATCAGGTCTGCAGTCTGGTGGCTCTTCAGCACGTCTCCTCATGCTCACCCGGACGGAGAAGCAAAAGCAGCGGGACCCACCGGAGAAAGCTCGGGGCTGCTGTGGACTGGCCTTGCCGGTGTGTCTCTGCACGCAGCAGCTCTGCCCCGCAGTCAGGCTGACTCAGTCTCATGGTTCCCGGGCAGCCAGGACTTGACAAGAGCCCATCTGATGCTTGTGTGCTCTCGGTTTCGGCACTCCACGGCCATGACAAATAAGTGCTGGCGCCCGCTACGGCCCGACCTGACAGTGACTGTTCCCACGCTGGTGTTTGATGTCAGTGAGCTCAGCCTGAAAGGATCAGAGATGCTGGATGCTTACCCGGTGACCTCATGCTGTTGCAAATCGTCAGACTGTGTTTCCAAACTCTAGGGAACTCACAACTGACCGTGAGCCTGCTGTCTCTGTTTCTGGTGAGAGCTGCTCTCTCTTTGCAGGAGTAGAGAGGCCCTTCTATGTGAGCATTTGCCAGTGTTCGTGCAAATAATGCATCTTGTAAGCAGAGCCTTCCCCACCCCTGACTCCTTTAAGTCATTTCGCATTTCCCTTTGTAGCACTTGCCACTTATAAGTTTGATTGCTGCTGCTGCTTATTTGATAAAAGGCTGTTTTGCCCAAATTCTGGGCTTCCGCAGGGCAGAAATTTCCATGCCTTTTGTGCTCACCTGTGTGCACGGCGACTGGGCCCAGTCTGGCACCGTCCAGTGGAATTTTCTGTGACGATGGGGAGACTGTCTCTCATGCTGTCCCATCTGGTAGCCACTCGCCTAGTCTGGCGCTTTCACGTAGGTGTTGACCGAGTGGACAAGTGGGTTTGCAGGAAACAAAGCCATGTAATTTTAGGTTAGGTGACATTCAGTTTGCATAACTTGGGAGACGTTTGGTTGTTGGAGCGGCAGGGAAGGAGCCGGGCTGTGAGTGTGGCAGGGCACTGGATTGCATCTTCAGGTGCACAGCCATTAGCGACCCAAGGTGGTGTGGGCACAACTGACCGGGTGGCTTCTGGAGGCCCTGCCCATCTTTGGGTCCATGCCGGCTCCCTTCCTGCCCCACCAGCCAGACTGCAGGCCCGGGATGTGCTGTGTTCTCAAACTGTTGTCCCTCGGAAAACTTCTGTATTGCTCTATTGCTGGTCTGATAACCAGCCAGAGACCTGGGCTTTACCCGTGGGTAGGGAGCCACCAGCAGACTGCTCCCGGGACTGCGCTGCCTGAACTCTGGGAGGTGGTGCTGCAGCAGAGGTGGTTAGTCCTGCTGCTGAAAGGCTTCCTGTAAGGGTTCTTTTATGTTGGCTGTGATGTACTTGG